ACCCACCTGGTTTATCCGTCATTTTCTCGGATGAACGCGTTGGGGGATCTCTCCACTGTCAATCGATTCAAAATTCCAGTTTAAAACAAGAGATTTCAGCATTTCTTTAACTCTCGTTTTCGGTTCGGCTGTGAAAGGCTTCAATAATTTGGCGAATGTTCGCATTTCTGGCTTTATTTGTCCGAGTTTTCGAACTCTCAGACAAGTAAAACTATCATTTCGACTAGCGACGAGCCTTTACTTATGTGAAAATTTTAACATTTGACCATCTGCGACTGACTGCAGGTCTTTGGAGCAGACTGGAGGTTCACTTCAAGTAAGCGGATCATAAAGGTCAGACCTTTTCCTTCCAGTGCTTGTCGTAAATAATAGGAGGCAACTAGCGTAAAATTTTAATGGAACAAAAATGTATTTTTTGTTACTAATTAGACGAAAGATCCACTGGTGAACCGAATTAGGTGCAACGCCTGAAAGTTTATAAACCACACATATGATCATCTGACTGCTATCTGGGTCAACAATATAGTTAACGGTGGTATGTCTTTTTTCACGTTCCTAAAAGTTAATCTATTAATGAATACAGGTCCGTTCGAAGTCCTGTTTTTTTGGTTGAACGTAATTTTTTGCATCGCTAAAGCAATAAATCCTTACTTGTGTACGAAATTCTTGTGTTTGCTGTTAATTTTGCAACTCTCCTTCAAGGTTGGAGGCCTCTAAGGACCGTTATGTTGGCCAGCTGGGACGCTGAGGAGATATCTCTGATCGGTTCTACTGAAACGACCGAACTCTTGAGAGAGGAGTTGAACCACCGGGCAGTAATTTACATAAACCAAGACTGTCCGATAAAGGGCAACGCCACTTTCAACGGCCGAACCGATCAACTTCTAGCTGATGCACTGCGTGCATCTGCAGCCGAGGTATCGTTTGATCCTCCGGGAAACATGTCGCTTTTGGACTACTGGAGAGAGCTGCAGGGAAAGCCACCAGGCGACTTGCCTGAGTAAGTACTACTGAGGTAGACTGCGGCAGTGGCCGCAGCCTGAGTAATAGCCAACTTACTAGGCACATAATTAAAATATAGTATAGGGCTGTAATAGGAAACGTTAATCTAACGCTGGTCTGTTACTGTTATAACACACAAATGTACTCGTAACCCTTACTAATGAGTATGTTTTGCTAAGTTGATAGGTAAAATAACCGCACGACAATTAGACCTGTATTAGTATTCGCCAGTCTGAGCACACATGAACAAGAAAATCAGGTCTCCCGTGCTTTTTAGGAAGACTTCGGTGGCGTCTGATTACTTTGTTTCGCCTATCTATCTTAATTCTTGGACGGCATGCGACCCTTCTCTTTTTCTTTGAAGTCTGTCTAGGAATCACTCATTCTGTCTCTTAGCGAGAAGCAGTTAACAGTCAAGGAACATAAACGAAGAGGGAAAGAAGAGGGAAATTCAGTGAAGCAGTTAACAGTCAAGGAACATAAACGAGGAGGGAAAGAAGAGGGAAATTCAGAGATAATTTCTGCCTTCTTTGCCTTTGTCAATCGCTAATGCTTAAAACCCAAATTAGACAAACCCGGGATCTGAACTCAGGTTGAGTTGGTAGTTCCATCGACTAGATCAAAACATGCGGTCTTACAGGAATGTTGTTTACCAAACGGGACATTATTACCCAGAGTACATCCATAACCAACACCAGCTCCCTTCTACGTTCTGGGAGAAGTATGGGTGGTTGTTGTTGAACCTTTGCTTACTCTAAGATGCTTTTGGTAACACCTAATAAATATAATTTTGCTTATTTTTGACCACTGGAGGATAATCACTTTTATTAGGCAAATACTTCCGAGATCCCACTGAACATAAAGCCAGGAAATAAATAAAAGCGCTGTATCTAAAGAAACTCTAACGTATTTCATTTAACGACCAATAATCTTGTGCTGGGATTACGCCGTCAGATCTTGAAATACTATTGGTAATTTTGTCATTATTTGCCCAAGGCCATTTCTTCTATCCTGTCAAAACACTCTTAGCAAAACTTGACCGAATGCATTCGAAATAGAGCGAGTCGAACCCAGAATGATCGTTTCTGCCACGCGATTTCCATTTTATCCTGTAGTTTTCGACCAATTTTTAAATTTGAATATGTTTACTTGGTGTATCATGCAAAAAATTTCTTTATGTCACTTTTTTGTAACTTTAGAACTGTTCCTCCACTCGGAAGTACGGACCATGTGCCTTTTCAGTATAAACTAGGTGTACCGTCCATGTATCCTGAGTTTCGCCCGGTTCGTCTGTGCGTTAACTACTCTTATTTTCTCTTTTATTTATC